CAACATGCCATAGTGGTAGGTTCTTCCTTGTTGCACCGCATTCACCATTTGCTCTAGCGGGTCCACGTAGATCAACCTTGCTTCATCTTGCGGCTTCGATTCCTTTTCCATAAGTGTCTCATCGTTCCCTATGTCGATCAATTCACGTGCGATCAATTTACATCACCAACAATGAGGGCTCTCACCAAGCCAAGGGCCGAGGCCCAAAGTTTGGGCCGACCCAACCTATTCTATATTGCATTTGAATTACCTTTTGAAAATAAACATAGAAGTGTATGGGCTTTTCTTTTTGTGCGACGGCCTTGGCGGCCAAAGGCCTAGGTTTCCCGACCGCCAATTATCTCGTGACAAGAACGCAATTCTTAGCACTAATTGGCTACATGCGTCACGCAACCAACGCTCTGTGGTGCGCCTTTACAGGCTTGTCGTGTAGCGTAGATAATGATTCGCCGAGCCAATCATCATCACTCAAAAGGAACGCACGAAATTCCCGCCAAAACACTGCCCTTGTCGTCACTTGCATGGAACACTACGTATCTGTAGACCAGCAAATAAAACTAGAACATACCAACATTTGCTATGTGATGTTATTACCTAGAAAATAACCATTTTTGGAAGCAAAAGCAACCAAGATACTTATACCTAGGTAAGTAGAAAAGATATGCTCTAGTAAACTACTAGGAAGAGGACTGGAGGAGTAGTGTTGGTGGAGCAAAGAGGGGGTGAGTTCACCACTGGAGGTGAGGGGAAGCGGCAGCCGACTTGTGTGCGTATAAACGGCTTCTCTCGCTGTCAACACAACACACACCCCTGCATCCATTTCCTGCGTCCAGCTAGCAATCTTTGCCTCCCTTCCGGCCCCCCTACCCCACCTCTCCCCTTTTTTGCCGTCCAAACCCCTCTCTTTCCGTATAAATTCGCAAACCACCCCTCGTTCCACACTAGTCCACACACCAAACGCTGTTTGTCTCGCACCCCCGTAGTTTTCTCTAATTGCAAATAGGTCCCTGTCCGTCCATCCCATGGAACGGAGGAGGGGGGGTGGTGGTGGTGGCGGCGGCTTCTTCGCCGCGCTGCGGGAGGAGGTGGCGCGCGGGCTGTCGCCGGCCCGGGCGCGCGGCCGGAGCAGGTCGGACGCGGCGGAGCTGGCGGCGGCGATGAGGATGTCCGGAGGCGGCGGCGGCGGGGGTGAGATGCTGGCGCCGCTCATGGAGGGGCCCGATCCGGAGTCCGGCGACGGGGAAGGCGGGGGTGGTGGTGGGGGTGGCGGCGGTGGAGGTGGTGGGGGTGGCCGGGGCGCGCGCGGGCGGAGAGGGGAAGGGTGGGGGCAGTGGGTGAGGGGGCAGCTGTCGCGGACGCCGTCCTCCGTGGCCGCCGCGGCGGCCGGCGCCGGCGCCGCGCGGAACGACCTCAGGCTGCTCCTCGGCGTCATGGGCGCACCGCTCGCGCCCGTGCATGTCTCCGCCGCCGAGCCGCTCCCGCACCTTAGCATCAAGGACACCCCCATCGTAAGTGCTTCCTCGCGCTCTCCTCCTCCTCCTCGTTGACAGCGCAGCACTCTCGGTGTTTTCCCTTTGGCGCTCTAGATTCGGTCTAGTCGAGTGTTCGACCAAATGTTCGAGCCATAATTTCCATGGATGGATATTTTTTAGTTCTCTTAATTCGTGAATGAATTCATGGTACTGTATACTGTAACAATTTTTTTTACTGATGATTATACTGCTCTATTCTTTTTCTAGAGGAATTAAATAAATTTATTGACGTCATTACTGATGTCTACATATATGGTATGACAAATATGTTGGTTCTTTAGGAAATGATATGTGGAAATTTGTTGTAGTTGTGCCTTGATCCAGGAATGTGGGTTATCTGCTGTAAAACATGGTCAATTTTTTTTACTGTTAAGTAGATTGTAGAATTTGTTCTTAATGTGGTTGTCTACAGGAGACCTCGTCGGCACAGTACATACTGCAGCAATACCTGGCGGCCTCTGGTGGGCAGAAGCTTCTTGCATCCGTGCGGAATGCGTACACTATGGGGAAGGTGCGCATGGTGGCCACCGAGTTTGAGACTGCTGGCCGCCTTGTCAAGAACCGCAATGCTGCTCGCTGCGCCGAGCCAGGCCGCTTTGTCCTGTGGCAGATGGCTCCTGAGATGTGGTACATTGAGCTGGCTGTCGGTGGGAGCAAGGTGCATGCGGGCTGCAATGGCAAGCTCGTGTGGCGCCACACCCCGTGGCTCGGTGCCCATGCTGCCAAGGGCCCTGTTCGCCCTCTCCGTCGTGCACTTCAGGTATGACTGCACTGCTTGGGCCACACCTTGTACGTGGTTTGCCTCTGCCCATTCAGCCATGGGAGAACCTTAAGTTTTACTCAAATGTTTCGGTCAATGTCTTTATAGGGTTTGGATCCATTGACCACTGCAAGCATGTTTGCTGGTGCGCGCTGCATTGGGGAGAGGAAGGTGAATGGGGAGGATTGCTTCATTCTGAAGCTGTGCACAGAACCTGAGACCCTTAAGGCACGCAGTGAGGGTCTCGCAGAGATCATTAGGCATGTTATGTTTGGATATTTCAGCCAGAGGACTGGCCTTCTTGTCCATATTGAAGATTCACACCTGACTCGGATCCAGTCGACAACCGGAGGAGATGCTGTTTACTGGGAGACTACCATCAATTCATTCATCGAGGATTATCGTCCAGTGGAAGGTATAATGATTGCACATTCTGGGCGCTCTGCTGTGACCCTATTCCGTTTTGGTGAGGTGGCCATGAGCCACACCAAGACTCGTATGGAGGAGGCATGGAGCATTGAGGAGGTTGCGTTTAATGTCCCTGGTCTGTCCATGGATTGTTTCATACCACCCACTGATATCAAGTCTGGATCTATTAGTGAAACTGTTGAGCTTTCTCATGGTGAGAAGAGCAAGGTTGGCCCTCCCCCTGGCCATCGTGCCAAAGTTGCTGCCTTGGAGAAGGCGGTTGATGGGAAAGTAGCATGGAGTGGAACCATACTTGAAGATCACAATTGATCTGCAGTCTGTCCATACATGCTTCTTACATTGCAGTTGACTGACTTTGATGAATGTAGTGTAGGTGATAAACAGGTCGAAGGAGGATTTGGAGTTTGTAGAACCAAATGCCCTTTGTGTACAGGGAGCACCATGAGGTATTCACCAGATCCTGCATATCCTTGAGGGTGATCTGTGTGAATAATCCTTTCTAATCTCATCCTGATATACGCGTAGTAGGTAGCCTCGTTTGCTACCTCAGGCTTTTTGTCAGTGCCATCTGAAAGAACATGGTGCGTTCTCCATTCCAGGTTCCAGCCACATGTGGAAGGTCCATTGTGGTAATGCTGTTTGTTCTCCTTTAGCAATACTGATTAGTCATTGGTGTCAGTGGGGAAGAAGTATTTCCTCGGTGGCAACCGACAGTGAATTAGTTGTCAACTTGTTGCCATTGACATCTGATTGGCGGGTTTAGTTTTCGTCATCACATCCAATTGGCGGTTCAAAATGCTGTGCTTGGTGATGCTTCCTGGTCAAAGCTAACTTCAGAGAAAAGTAGAAACTCTAAAATGGTTGCTACTTCTTAGGTTTCTAATTGTAAGTTTTTTTCCCTTTTGAACCTTCCTTTGCATCTCTCTTATTTATCATGAGATGAAGGTGTACTCAACAGAAGTTTGATGTAATCCAAAACATTTATGATTGTGATGGGTTGAACTGTTTGTGATGTCTGCTGCCCTGCTCACACCCATCTGTTTTGAGTACTTTAAAAATGATTTTGGCTCCCTATGATGTTGCATTGCAACAGTGTGACATCAATGTGGCTTTTTGGTCTGCTTGCATTTTACTTTGGTCTGCAGTATGTTGGGGGGAGTAATGATTCATTACTATGATGGCATGGCCCCCATGTGCTTCTTCTAGTATACCTCCCCCAGGTGATGTGTTGATACTGTTGAAATTGTTGATGAAGTGAGCTTTGCAACCATGGTAGCAGTACGTATCCTTTTCTATCGCTTTGCTCCATTCTTCGAAGCTTCAAAACCTTGATACCTTCTTGCCCCTGGCATTAATGGAATTGCACTCCCTTCTTATTTCTTGATGTGAGCAATAGTTTTATTCTTAGGGGTGTGTGTTCTTCGTGGGGAGAAGAAACCACTGTCTAAGATTGAGGAATACTAATATTCTCAAGTCCACTGTCTTAGTCCTTCCTCACCTATTGGGAACTTGGAACTCACACACACCCATCCTGCAAGGTCAAACTGTTGTATATTCTGGAGCTTGGCAACAGTTATCCTGTCTACCATTGTAGGCCTTCGTTAGGGTTTTGGAGTTGTTTTAGTGTCCGTTCCGTCGACGTCTTTTGTCGCTCTTTCTTTTTTAACTTGTTCTTCCTATGGGAACTGGAGCATGTGCATTTTCTAATATACAAGTGCACTGCAGAGCCAGTTTTTTCAAGTCAACGTTCGACGGACGCTGGATTTGTCTTTCGAGAGTAATCTGAGCTATGAGCTGGTTTGTTCGATCAAGACCACGCAGAAATAATGGGATCTTAACTCTGCAGCCTTGTTCTATTTGCATTTGTAGTCTTGCTGTTGCTGTGCAAACCGATGCATAACAAGAACTTTTACAAGTAGGGCTGAAACCGGTACGTAGCTAGGCCGGAAGACTGAAATTTTTCTATTGGGCTTCACACAAACAAATAAACCCAAAGCTGTGTTTTAAATGGGAATGGAACAAACGCTGCAAGTTTTACGGGCAGATTTGGTTCATTTCGACACGACACTTCTCGGCCAAATCTTGTCTACGGTGTGTCTAGCAATTTACTCGCCTCACCTTAGACAAAGTTTGGCAAAAGAAACGTGCCTAAGACAAGTGTGCGGAAGTTACAGCAATGAACCAAATGTCTTGCCCAAGAAACTATGTCGTGCCTAAGCCCAACGTTTGGCAACCAGCCAGGAAAGCCCTTTCGATGTATACTTACCATCGATACAAGCTTTTACAAAAAATAAATCAGGAAGCAGGATGGCACTTGAAGAGTATTACAGGTTTATACCAGAAGCTCAAATTTTTTGGTCCAAAGATTCAAACGCCTCTTATTAGATACAACTGGAGCGGTTGTCCACCCAAATGGATAAACAAAAAACAGGTAGGTTCATTTGGAACAGAAAAATAGGCCAAACTGAAGACTTAGGCAATACCAGCTGTTCCTTCACCTGCAGATATGGTAAGGTTAAGCAAAGTAAGTACTTCCATAAACAGGATACCTGAAATTAGGAACTCCAATTTGACATGTCATGCATGCAAAGAAAGGTTTCCAAATTTTACAAAATACGCCAAATGACTATCAAGCAAAGAGTATGAATGATGTTGCCTTCATGTTTTTACTTGCTACCTATGGTTCTAGAAAAAATAACAACAGCAATTCCCTTAGGGCTTCAAAACAATTACAAACAAAAGCAGCAGCTGTACAGCTTGATTTGATCATTGCAGTGCATAGCAGAAATGCACAATTCAAAACATTCACAAAAAAAGTTCACATTGACAAAACATTTTTTTTTCTGGAAGCACACTAAGATAAGCTTGTGTCCAATGGACAACAAATTTGCTCAATGAATCCTTAAGTACCTCAATAAACAAATACACATTCACAGATGTTAACAATTTGAGCGTGCTGAAGGTAATATGAGCTGCTGATAAAATCAAACAGAGTAGGGCATATAGCCAGCCAGCCAGGTCAATACAATAACAGTTTCTGAGATAATACTCCCAGCCCCAGAAAGTATACAACACCCATGAGTGGCAAAAATACCATTGATGTGGAAGGAACCATATACAGTAACTCCAAACAGTGGTTTGATCATAATTAGTTGGGCTCTGAAGCATCAGATAGGTTTGAATTACAAGGATACAAGACATTTACATTAGTGATTGGAATCCCTTGTGCAATACTCAACAAAAATTTAAATCACAGTTAGCTGGTTTAGAAATTGATATGTGATCAGCTTTTGTTTGAAAAATAAAAGGGAAGCAACAATAAACGGATCTACAGGTACATGAGCACCTTGATTGAGGAAATTTTATTGATATAAATATCTAGAAAATGCGTTCGTGGAGTAAGAACCACCTTTCCTTCCGTATTACAGCATTTCATACACCCTTTCCAACTTTTGCATGAAACTATTTTTCAACATTCGTATATTATTAAATAGTAATCCCTATGTACTGCCCAAACATTATGTTCCAAGACGTATCACAATAATATTAGGGAAATGCTACGGGACGGTTTCCCGTTCAGACGGGATGATCATCTAAGGTATCGGCTGATACCCCGTTTGGACATGATGATACCTCAAGGTATCGCCAATACCTACTAGGTATTGGCATACCTGGGTATCAGACGATACCTCTGAGGTATCATCCTGTCCGAACGGGATACCGTCCTGTAGCATTCCCCTAATATTATGAATAGGATTGGAACGCAGCATTATTTTCCTTCGCACCCTTCTTTCTCTTAGAAAAGAAAACCTTATTTATAAAATGTAGCGTCAATGTATTCTGCATCCTTTTCATACTGATTACGAATGCCTGGATGTAAAGAAGCACATTTATCATTTGCGTATGTTCCATTCTTCCAAGTTTAGAAGGTAAAATTAGCACACTAAGAACAATCGGGACTTTCTGCTACCCTTCAAAAGGAAACAGGCTACAAAAGCACATCTGTCTACAAAAAAGAAGTTGAATTGTACTCTCAACCATGCTTTAAGAATTAGCCACTTGCTATGCCCTTAATGCATTTTTCAGAAAACTTAGGCTATCTTGATCACGGAGCAATATCGATGAGCAAAGTTGCCTAATCCTCACCTTCATGGACTAATTAATAATCACATCATAGAGAATGTGCCGCCAGAAGATTCCTACATTTTCCCCCCTAATCCTATCTCCTGATTCCCCCCAAATTACTCTCCCGTTTCGCGGGAAGTGATGTTGCTGCAATCCTAGCGATTCGATTCAAATCGAAACCAAATCACACCATACCATGCCCAGCTTAAAGCAGGAACAAACAATAATAACCCCCAAATAGTTTCTACAAACCAGATCTACCGCAGGACAGCGGAAAGAACCAGATCTCAGCCGGAGGGGAGACGAGATCGAGGAAGGAGGCGCGCGGGGGGATTTACCATGGAGGCACGGATCAGATCAGTGCTTCTTGTGCGCCTGGACGAACTTGGAGTTCTTGAGGTCCTCCTCGGTGAAGCCGGCGGTCATCTTGGTGATGATGGCGCCGGTGACGGCGAAGCCGGTGAGGAAGGGCCAGCAGCGCTTCCACTCCCTCCGGAAGAACACCGGCCACGGATCGAAGCGGCTGAAAAACATCCTCGATCTCCTCCTCTTCCTCCTCCTCCGCGGCGGCCTCGGTGTGGTTGGGGGGTCAAGAGGTCCTTTCGCTTTTTTCTCGATCCGAAGGGGGAAGAAGCGGATGGTGGTGGTGGTTATCGCATCGCGTTTAGGGTTAGGCAGGGGCGCCGCCGCATGGAGATGGGCCTCGCCTCTCCTCCACGTGGGCCAGATTTTAGTGGGCCTGGAGTAGTTCACATGGGCCGGGTCAACTAACTCCAGTGTTCACGGGCTTTTCAAACCAGCCGACCTGTCCACGTGTCATGTGAAAATCGGATTTTTTTAAAAAAATTATTTTTACATTTTTTTAGGCAGTTGTCTAGCAAATCCCTTTTTTTATTGAAATATTTAAAAAAAATTGCTTCATTTTTATAGAAACACAATATAAATGCAAGTATTCACAACGTATGCACACTCACACCTATGAACGTACACATACACACCTGCCCCTGTAAGCACCTCTGAATGGCTGGGATGGTATATCTTTAGATTGATAAAGTCAGCACGGGCACCTCGCTATCAACGGATACGTCGCATACTATTAAAAGAATAATTAGTCTTAAATACGAGCACCCATGTCTAATCTAGAATTTGAACCTGAGACGTTCTTTCTAAATCGCCCTTCCACAGGACATTAAGGATCTAAATGTAAACTTTTTTATTTGTATTCAAACCCTTTTCGCTAGTTTTAATTGTTTAATAAACTAGTAATGCTTGTTCGACACTCCAACTGATTTTAAATAGAAAAGTAATAAACCATAATGTTGTTGATCTCGATGATATGTAAAGTTTATTTTTATCTGATATCGCTTAAAATGTAGTGTTGTTAAAATAGGTTTTAGATTTTACAACGAATATTTGGACATGAAAACGATCTTAAATGAAAAGGTTTGTTTCTGACATCTCGTGAAAATGGTTAGTAATAACCACTAACTCTAAGTTTGGTATACCATTTTGTATCCTTTCATTTGCTTTTATGTATTATTTGATAATTGAATTTGGTACTTAAGAACCATCAACAATGTTCTTTTTCTCTCATCTTTGCATATGGCTCTCTCCTAGCAGTGTCTCCCTCTTCGTGCTAGCCGAGCTCGACCAAGCATGCGATGGTTGGAGGTCAAGGAGGCGAATGCAGCGACCAACCTCGAGATCCATCGCCATGGAGACCAACCTTCGGATCCATAACTTGAAAGAGAAGCTCGCAATGGTGGTGGCCCTCTTCCTGCCCACTCCCTTTGTGAGCTCGTGCATTTTGCTGGTTACCGTCCTCCTTGCTAAGGAACCTCGAGATCTATCGCACCAACCTCGAGCGAGCTCGTGCTGTGCCCTTGGTCGCCGCCTCCATTTACCCCCAAGGGAATCTGCCTTTGCTGTCCTTCTGGAACAATTCAAGCTCTACCGCCATGTCGCCATCTCCGTTGTTACGCCCAAAACTTTAGTTAATTTTTAGACTATTTTGTGTATAAATCCCTGTTTAGGAATCAAGTCAGAGTACATAAAACGATAAATTAATATACAAATCAAAACGTAAATAAGAAATCCTCATTAATTGTTGAATACTTGAACAGTGATAGATCGGAGGATTGAGTAGAGATGACATGCAGTAAGGGCATCCACAATATGCATATAAAGTGGGTAGTAAGAAATAAAATACTACTACTACCAGGTTGTATACATTGTGGAAGTAGTAAGTAACAAATACTAGGTAATATGCTTACTACCTAGCCATAAGCAATAAACAAATGATTTCTCTCATCCCTCTCTCATGGATAATGGTTGTGGGGTCCAGCTTACTACCCACTTTTGTTATTTCACCATTGTAGCTACAACAACAACTAATATCCACTGACACATGGCCCACCCTTATTCTTAAAGTAGGTAGTAAACATTGGTGATGCCCTAAGAATTATGAGCATACAGAGATCCTGTTCAATTTTATCACCAAAGCAACCAAACCTAGCTAAAACATCAATATAAGAAAAAAAAAATTATGTTGGCTGTTACTGCATTTTTTTCCTGTAGTTATAGTGTAACCATCACACCAAAAGATTAAAGTTTCCATTACTGCTGACTACTTAACGTTACACTAGGATAGGATGGGATGGGATGGGATGGGATGAACCCATTTTTAGGAGTGTTTGGTTCAGGGGTGAGTGGGATGGGTTGGTCCCTAGAGAGGAATATTCCTCTCAGATTTGGGACCAACCGATCCGGCCAAAACTGGCGGACGAACTCGTCCCAAGTGGGACGAGCGAACGGCGTGAATGAGCGAGCACGCTCGCTGCCCTGCTCACGCGCTCGTCCTCGAGAGACAGCGGCGGACCTCGGCGACGGCGGCGGCGGTGGGCTCGGCGACGGCGGCGGCGGGAGGCTCGGCGACGGTGGCGGTAGATGGCTCGGGCGACGGCGACGGTGGTGGGCTCGGGCGACGGCGGCAGTAGACGGCTTGGGCGACAGCGGCGGCGGTGGGCTCGGCGACGGCGGCGGTGGGGGGCTCGGTGGCGGCGGATCCAGTGGTGGGGAAGGCAGCGGCGGCGGATCCAGTGATGGGGAGGGTTGCGGCGACGGATCCGGAGGCGGGGAACTCGGTGGCGGGCCGACCGTGCGTCGTCGCGCTTCTCCGCCCGCCCGACCACGATGGTGGCCATGCTCGCCCTCCTCTCCACCGGCCTCTCCCTCTCCCTCTCCCGCGCGGACCTCGCCGCCGTCGTCGTCGCCGAGCCGCGGCTGCTCTGCGCGAAGGCCGACACCATCGCCGCCAGTGCTCGGTTGGGTCATCCCGTCTGTTGTCGTCGCGCTCCTCCGCCCGCTCGTCTGCGATGCCGACGCCGTCATCTCCGCGGTGCTCGCGACCCAGGTCCCCGACCAGACCAAGCTCATCGATGCCATCAAGGAGGCCGGCGGCGACCACGTCCGGAGGTGAGGGCAGGTGCGGCGTCAGCCATCGTTGTTGCAAACGGCGTTGTCGGTGGTTGCAAACGGCGCTCATCCCATCCCTCCCTTGTTCCTTCAACCAAACAAAAAACTGGGATCGTCCTATTTTACAAACCAAACACCCGAATGGAATCATCCCAATCCTAAAATCAGGGATGGTTTCATCCCATCCCACCTAGTCCCAGAACCAAACACACGCTAGAAGTACCATCCACGCGTTTCTGTGGGTCTGAGAAGTAAAATTTCTGTTTTACGAAATTTGACAGTGCTTCAGATCATACGTACACAGGTGGGTGTTGTCCTCAAACTGCCCAAGCAAAAGCAATGAAGAAACGGAACCCGTAGCTGAACAAACAGCTGGGCTTCATTTTCAGGCGCTAGTACGGATAAGCATGTGGACGAGCGCGAGCGCGATGCTGGTGTGCTGCATGGCGCGGCGCACCCCGGGGCGCAGCTCGGCCCTCACCGGCGTCGGGGCGGACGCGGCTGGCCGGAGAGCGTCGGCGCACGTGCCCTCGTACGTCATCGCGGCGCTCAGTCACGTCTGCGCGTCGCGGACGCGCCACAGCACCTCGGGCCCGGCCACGGCCCGCTCGACGCCGTCCAGCCGCCCCGCCGCGCGCGCCGCCAGGTCGGCCGCCGACGCCACGGCCTCGGCGCAGTCGCCGAGCGCGCCGGCGGGGGACTCGGTGGTGCCGGTGGTCGACGGTGACGGGATCCGCCCGCCGAGGCTGTTGATGGTGCCGGCGGTTAGGTTGGCGGAGGGGACGGCGAGGCGGGCGTGGCTGGAGCCGACGGCGGCGGCGTACGGCGAGAGCGCCGCGGTGCAGAGGCGCGGGTAGAGCGTGCGAGCGCAGCAGCCGCGGACGAACTCCCTGTCCTGATCTCGCCGCGCGCCAGCGCCGCCGCCGCCGAGTTCTCCCGCCGGCGCCGCCACCGGTGATACGGCAGGAGCAGGACTCACCGTCGCCGGCGTGGAGGTCGCCGCAGGTTGCCACGAGCCGGCCGCCACGGCGAGGAGTATCACGAGAGCAAGAAACATATTATCTGTTCGTAGTTGGCAGTTGCAGCGTACGTGGGGGAGGTGTGTGAATGATGGTACACTAGTGTGCTCCAAACAAATACTACTATGGATGCATGCAAACGGAATTATTGTACGTGGAGAGATAGCGATCCTGTGGATGCGAAATATGCCGATACGTACAAATTGTCCAGGTAATGGATGCATTCATACAGTTGTGCTAGCTTCTCATCGTATGGATGCATCATTGTCCCTTGTATGGATATCCTTCATTTCTACAGCTTTTGTTCTGCCTTTTCTCTCTTTCCCTGACATAGTCGATTTGGCGGACTGTATTGTATAACAAAAACTCTTATCTTCTAATATATTGACGCATAATTCTTTTACGCGTTCAAAAAAATAGATATCCTTCATTTTTTGCATGCATGTTATTCAAATAATGATAAACATGATCTCGGTAGCCAGGGGCGTAGCTAGGGGTAGTCCCGGTGGGTTCGGGACTAACCCCAAATTTGGCCCACAGACCCCAAAAAAAAATTAGGCCCAAATAGGTTGCTTGGCCCAAATAGCCCAGAAACATTAGGGTTGAGGGACTTCCAGCCACTCAGCGAGTCAGCGTCTCAGCCACCAGCGCCACTTCGCCCGAGCCCGATGCCGCCAGCTGCTAGCCTCCGCGACTCCGCGCCGGCGCCGTCTCGGCTGGCCGGCTCCCCCGCTGTCCGCGCCGGCGTTGCGCCATCCCTTCCCCTCCTTCTGCGACTCCACGCCAGCGCTGCCACTGCCGTCCCCTCCCCTCCCCGCGAGGCCGCCACTCCGCGTCTCCGTGCCGGCGCCACCGCCGCCGTCCGCACAGTCCCCTTCTCTCCGGCCTCCCCGCCGTCCACGCTGACGCCGCACCGCGCCGCCGTCCCCTCCCCTCCGTGGCTCAGCCCAGGTAACGAATAGCTGCCTAAATGGATAAATCGAGTTGTGAAGGTAACGAATAGCTGCCTAAATGGTTAAATCGAGTTGTGAATTGTGACTAGAGATTAGTGAGTACGTGAATATTTGCACATTTTGAACTTGCTTGTTAAGTAAGCTGCTTATGGATGTTGGAAGATATTATTTCTATCACATTTTCACTAAATTTGTATTTGTATATCAGTTTTATGGTGCAAAAGAAAATTTTACCACGTGACATACCGTGCGAACTAGGACTACTAAGGAAAATTTCCTGGCTACGTCTCTGTCGGTAGCAGCAGATCTGCTGGCGATGGCCACCGATCGAAGGTGGCGACAAGCAGCAGAGAGGGCAGTCGTTGTGCACGCGCCCATATCTCAGGTCAAGGAGCATACTGAACCCGCATGAGAAAAGGCATTTTTGTTGTATGTGAAAATGTGTTTTCCAGTATATATTCTTGCAAGTAATTTTATAGGGGCTATGCCATCAAAAATGAAAAAAAAACTCTAGTTATCAATTATATATAAGAGTAGCACTAGTGCGCATAATATTCTGCTTCTCCTATGATAGCGTCAAAGATCAAATGTGGAGCTAGCTGGTAGATGTGAAGATAATATGTATAGATTAGCCAATCCTTTATTATAAAAAATATTATCATTTCAGTAATACCAAATTGATCATAGACTACTGGCCCCCAAATAAAACCATTTTGTTTAAGCTGGGCACTCCCATAAACCAATTTCCAAATATATTTTTGGCGCTCCGAGAAGTAGTGTCGAAACAAGATTTCGGCAATACTAAAAGGGGTGGCTATCAAGCTAGAAAAGTGGATGGGTTTGGAGACAAGGAATTTTATACAGGTCCAGGCCTTCTTATTCAAGAAGTAATACCCTACTCCTGTCCGGGGATGATTCCGCCGAGTATGTTATTGATCGTATGATTTGGGAAAAAGAGAATCATCCCGAGAGGAACCCGGACCCCTCCTTATATAGGGGAAGGGATCCGTATTACAAAATACAGTCCATATCCCTAACGGAATATGCGATTACAGATAAAATACAATCGTAACCGACTAAGATCTCGGGTATTTCCTTGACATATAAGTTAGAAACTAACCCGAGTCCTCATAAAGATATTCTATCTATATTTGGTACCGTATATCCGACTAAATTATAACTGTCATGTTGATATGGGGTATCCATAATCTCCACAGTAGCCCCCGAGACCTTCGCAGTTGACAAAATAGCCTTCTCGAAACAAAAAACAGTAATCCGAGTGCTTCAATTTAACTTGCTCTAGCTTGCCGAGTGCTAAAAGACTGTGAAGGGCAAAAATAAAACATGGTGCATCGAGTAGATGCACCTACTTAGGTGTAGCCCCTGACTATGTGATTAGTTGAAAAACTAAACATGTAGTCAAGAACCGAGTGGTTTTATAACGAAGCATGCATGGTACTCAATAAAATACTCAGCCGACTTCTTCTCAACTTGAACATATCAAGGATAAAAAATAGGAAAAGGGCCGAGTAATAAACACTTAAAAGGTCCAAAAATAGACATATTTGATATGAATCCGAGTAAGAAACTCTTAAAATGATCCATCAAACATGATAAAAATCATGGTAATCAACGAGTCTAATAGCCTAAGCTATGACTCTCACCATAACCAAATTAAGCATATAACATGCTAAGAGAATGACCCTTAATAAATTAGTCATCTCGAATCAACCCAAACAGCTTTTGCAACCTCATAAGGCTTACAAAAATAGTATAACACCTTCCTGTCGGGCACCTTTTGTTTGCATCGTGTTAATTCCAAAGAATTATCAAACCGCATTAAAAGGATTTTAACAGCATTGGGCCACATCATTGTGAGCACAAATTGCCAAAGCAAAAAGCGCCTAAATCCCTAGGGATCACAACGGGTCATGCTGAAAATAAAATTGGGCCGAAATACTGTGTTTAGGCCCAAGCCCATTAGTACTCCTGATACCCTAATAACACCGAAGTAAAATGAAACGTCTCTTCGTCTTCCCCGCCGAGACTCTCGCCATTTTCCCCATTTCCTGCTACAGTACAAAACTGTGCCGGCAAAACTAGGGTTCATCAATCCACTCCAATCCATCCTTAAAAACTTCACGAAATTTCCCCCCACGTCCACTGCTCCGATTCTCCATCTCTTTCCAGCCATATCTCGGACCAAATTAAACCATCCAGTTCACATTCATGGCGGAAGAAAGAGAAAGCTTCGAGAGTCAGTGGGCGCCCTCCGATGTGACGGAAGATAATCTGAAGGAGATGGTGGCGCATGGCGTTCTTCCGATGAAGGAGATCATCGAGTGGTGACCGGCATTCGGTGAAGCATTCCCGACCCCCGATACGCATGAAGTCGTGGTATTTGCTCATTTCTTCTATGGCGGTTTCTCCCTTCCAACCTCAAGATTTTTTCGGGGAATTCTGAATTTCTATGGAATTAGCCTGCATCATCTGAACCCAAACTCCATAGTTCACATCGCCAATTTTATTCATGCCTGTGAAGCCTTTTTAGGTATTAGGCCACATTTCGCCTTGTTCCACCGCATCTTTTTCCTTAAGCCTCAGCCAAACAAGAGCAAACCATGTGTTGTTGGGGGGGGGGGGCTGGTTTCCAACTCAGGGGAACCTTAAGCCAAAAATACTTCTCTATGCCCTTCAAAACCTCAAACAAAGGCTAGCACGCAAATTGGTTTTATGTTCAAAACCCTGAGCCTGCTCTTCCCGAGTACTCCTGTCTTCCTCCAGTTTATCGGGATACTTGGAACTCACTGGCAATGGGAGATGAAGCTGCGCAAGCAGTGGAACTGATGGAGAGGATGATAAAGCTAAAAGAACAAGGCCTTCAAGGAGAACAGATCACCCAGCACTTTATCAAGTGTCGGTTAGCTCCAATCAAAGAGAGATCTCGCACAGCCTTCGAATTTGACGGCAAGCATGACCCAAACCGTGAAGATCCAGATTCTCTTGACTTCAAGGTCATGAAGGAAAGGATGTATAAGATCTTCTCAAATGCTATCGTTGTCAGCTATTCACACTTGCTGCCAGTCGTACCGTTCAATGCATTCAATCCTCCTCCACCGGTATGTATTCTAACGTTCCAACCTTCCTCAAAAACATGATTTCGTCTCTTGTTGAATTGCTCGACATTTATGCTCAGGAGTTCGCATTGATGAAGTCAAATCCTCCAATCGCCCAGCACCAATCACCTCACCGCCAAACTGGTCAGGGAAGCGGGGGACCAAGAATTCGGTCTGAAACCCAACCAAGTGCTTCTGATCCAGTCGGCCAGTCAGATTCTCGCAAGAGGAAGCTGGTTCCAAGTGACGATGAAGGCGATGATACCGGAAAGCTCAAAGATAAAGGAACGACCGGAAAACCTCCGAAGCCAACTAATCCGAAGAAGAAAACCTCCAGTCGTCCTTTCCCAAAAATCAGAAAGTCTTCCAGGTACAAATCATATAACAATCTTCCTTGTATCAATATTCTCCCATCATGAAAATAACACTGATGGCAAAACTTGTAGGAAACCATCTGACATAGATCCTTCTGAGAAAGACTCTGACCCAACTAACTTGGAAGCAGATTCCTCAAAAGAAACCGGGCCGTCTGCAAAAGATCACCCGAGTGATAATCCGCAAGCCAGCGACAATGTAGAACCCAGCGACGAACCCACGACTGCAAGCCAGTCGGCCGAAGCTGGAGTCGGAGTTAACCAGGAGCCCCCGACTGGAAACCAATCGGATACAGGGCCAAGCCAAAAGATTCCCGAGGTTGAAGCTCAAACAAACAGTCCTCCCGGGAAGGGTGCTGGCAATGACTCAGAAATCAGATCTCCTGCGAAGACACAAGAGTCTACTCGTCCCCGACCGGGAATCATCACAGGTAAACACGCTATCTGAAATCATTACGATCCAACAGACTTTATTTGATTGCTTCATCTTTATTCATGGATACACTAGGGCCAATAATTGGTGAGGAAGAAGAAATCCTCCGGATACGAGCAGCTGAGGATTCGCGCCCTCCCATTCTAGTCAAGTGGTAGGATGACAACATGCAGCCTCAAGGAATCGTAATAAACAAGCAAAAAGAGGACGAAGAGTTATGCCTACTGAAAAAGGCACTTGGTCAGGCAACCTGCATTGTAAATGTAAGCTCTTTGGCGCCTGATCTCAACCATTTCGTCTGTTGTTTAGTTCAAGCGCTAATTAAACTGTCTTGTAGAGGATTCATCTTAGGAACAAAGCTAAAACGACAGCCTTAGAGAGGTTAGTCCCTCATCTCAGAACCCTCGAAGCCACCAGGAATCAACTGCACGAAACAAAAGAACTTGCCAGGAAGAATGAACATGATCTGAGGGATCGGATTGCTGAGCTCCAGGAATCCAATTTTGAACTGAGCGGCTCATCAAAAGGTACGCACAAGCTCTGCCCAACTAACTTGTGTTGTTATCTTTGTAATCTTGATTAACCAGAGTTAATGTAGTGCAAGCTGCCAAGATATCTCAACTGGAGAAGTAGATTCAAACTCTAGAAAATGACAAGGCAGAACTGGCAAGACAGAGGGACTTGGCTTTAAAGGAGGTTGAAGGTACCAATAATCAATACCTCAAAAGCCATTATCTTCCATATGCTGACTTATTAATGTGAATCTGTTGATGCAGACCGCAAGATCAAGTCGCGGGCTCAATTCGACGTCCTGGTTGGCAAGATCAAAAAACTTGAAGGAGCTCGGGATGAAGTCGCTAACGCTGCTACCCCACTTGTTCAAGCGATGTTCTTCAATAACAATGGCTCGAGTACACTTAATGCTTCTGAAATCTTCGACAAGCTGAGAGTTGCTCCGGATACATATTTCAAGAACATCAAAGAAGCTGGAAGTATGGGAGCAAGTCTGGCGTTGGCGATGACCAAATCCCTTTATCCAAGAGTTGACATTGATGCCATTGATGGCTTTGCAGACGGGACGAGCGAAGAAGCTGCTCTTGACCTCATCAGTGGTGCGCAAAAATCTGCCGATAAGATAGCAATCGATGTAGTTGAAAGATTTCAGGACATCGATCTCCGACCGACTGGTCCTGGTAATTCTGATGATGAAAAGACTGATACTGGTTGATATAACAATGATTTTGATGATTAATGATGATGGAGGCACAATTTGTACAATACTGATGAATTTATGCTACGCTTGGTATTCCATACTTAGCTTCTGATTTCTTAAAAGCCTTTGTCAAGCCTTATTGAACCTAAAACCCGCAAAAGCTATTAAAAACCTTCAGTCCTCATTGACTAAGTTGAAAGACCAAGCAGGGCAATGATAAATCAAGTAAGCAAATTGAATTGATAAAAATCACACTCCATTATTATCATAATAGCCCCCGACAGATAACTTCAAGGGAAAGCTTGATGTTGTCGGTCAAAACAGGGAAATAGAGAAATGAACTTAGGCATAAAAACGACGAAGATGTTCTATATTCCAAGAATTGTCGACAGGTGTACCGTCTTCACGCTTTAGTCGATAAGAACCTGGCCGGGTTACTTCAGAGATTATACACGACCCTTCCCATAAAGGAGATAACTTGTGTCGATCCTGTGTAGTTTGAATTTTCCTCAAAACCAGGTCTCCGACTAAGAAAGCTCGTAATAAGACGTTACGGTTATGATAACGACGCAACCCTTGCAAATATCGGGCCGACTGAATTAGGGCTGCTTCACGGGCCTCTTCCAGTCGGTGTAGATCATCTACTCGGTCTTCTCCATAGCGCTCCTCACGAAAGTTGCGGAAACGCAAAGATTCAAATTCTACCTTGCTAGGCAACATTGCCTCTGCTCCATAAACCAGGAAGAACGGCGACTGGCCTGTAGCCCGACTGGGAGTGGTGCGTAAGGACCAGAGTATGGATGGCAGCTGTTCCACCCATTTGCTGGCATAGGGATTCAATCGATCAAAAACTCATGCCTTTATTCCTTGGAGTAGCATGCCGTTGGCTCGTTCAACCTGTCTATTACTCATAGGGTGCGCTACGGAGGCATAGCAAATTTTGATGCCAAAATCTTCACAAAAATCTTTAAACACTCCTCCAGTGAATTGAGTGCCATTATCAGTGATAATCCGATTAGGTACCCCAAACCGATGCACAATGTTGATGAAAAAATCTCTAGCTTTATCTGCTGTGATCGTGATGACCGGTTTAGCTTCAATCCACTTGGAGAATTTGTCGATAGCCACAAAGAGATGCGTGTAACCGCCGACTGCCCTTTTAAACGGGCCGACCATGTCAAGCCCCTAGACCGCAAACGGCTAGGACAACGGGATGGTTTGCAACTCTTGGGCTGGCAGATGAATTTGTCTGGCAAAAAATTGACAACCTTCGCATGTCCGCACAATCTTGTCAGCATCAGACACAGCTGTAGGCCAAAAAAAACCTTGCCGGTAAGCTTTGCCGACAATGGTCCGTGCGGCAGCATGATTACCACAAATACCAGAGTGTATATCCTTCAACAATTGTCTCCCTTCCTCCAAAGACACACAGCGCTGCAGTATTCCTGTTGGACTTTTCTTGTACAGCTCAGTCTCATGAATAATGTAAAGTCTGCTGCGCCTGGAAATCCGCTCAGCTTCATCTTTATCTGGAGGGAGTTCTTGTTTGGTTAAAAATCTTATGAGGGGCTCTCTCCAGTCGGCTTCAATCATGCTTACATCTTGGGTGTCCGTAGCCTTGATTATTTCTTTACTTGGTACAGTCGGCTCATAAACATGTTCGACGAATACGTCAGAAGGAGCTGCTTCTCGCTTTGAACCGAAATTATCCAATCTGTCGGCTGCCTCGTTGTTGTGTCGAAGAACGTGGGTGAGTTCGAGTCCATCGAATCTGTCTTCCAACTTGCGTACTTCCTGTCGATAAGCAGTCATGTTATCGTCAAGGCAGGACCACTCTTTCATGACTTGGTTAACAACCAACTGGGAATCTCCACGAACGATCAGTCGCCAGATGCCCAAAGAGATTGCGATTCGTAGTCCGTGAAGGAGCGCCTCGTATTCCGCCACATTGTGTGATGCGGAAAAATGTATCCACAGCACATAACTCAGTCTTTCTCCAGTTGGGGAAATTAAAACAACTCCGGCTCCAGTGCCTGAAAGTCTCTTCGACCCGTCAAAGTGCATAGTCCAATACTCCATCTTTTCCTCGGGCGTGTCCTCTTGGCACTCGGTCTACTCGGCGACAAAGTCGGCTAAAGCTTGGGACTTGATCGAAGTTCGTGGCTTGAAGGATATATCAAAGGACATCAGTTCTAAGGCCCACTTTGCGATTCGTCCATTTGCCTCGCGGTTATGAAGTATATCCCCGAGTGGAAACGATGTAACCACCGTGACCGAGTGACCTTGGAAGTAGTGGGATAATTTCCTGACGGTGATCAAGACACCGTACAACAGCTTCTGAACTTGAGGATATCTTGTCTTGGAGTCAGCCAAAACTTCACTAACGAAGTAGATCGGTCGCTGGACTTTCTGAACATGGCCTTCTTCTTCTCGCTCGACAACCAGGACCGCACTCACGACCTGAGGGGTGGCCGAGACATATAGTAACAACGGCTCCTGTGGGTGTGGCGAGGCCAAAACTGGTGGAGTAGTGAGAAGTTTCTTGAAATCTTCAAAGGCTTTCTGTGCTTCGGGTCCCCACTGGAAATTGTCTGTTTTCTTTAACAGTTTAAAGAAAGGCATCCCCCGCTCACCGAGTCGTGAGACAAACCGGCTGAGCGCCGCCATGCATCCAGTCAGCTTCTGGACATCTTTCTGAGAGCTCGGCAGTTTCATGTTGAGGATGGCATTAACTTTCTCCGGGTTGGCTTGTATGCCTCTGTGAGACACCATAAATCCAAGCAGCTTCCCTGACGGTACTCCGAAGACGCATTTGTCAGGGTTTAGTTTCATCCTGAAAGCGCGGATGCTCGTGAAAGTTTCTTCGAGATCCGTAATCAAATCATCCTTCTGCCTGGTCTTGACGACTACATCATCAACATAAGCTTCAACATTGCGGCCGATCTGAGTTGAAAAACACCTCTGAATCATGCGTTGGTAGGTTGCTCCTGCGTTCTTCAATCCAAAGGGCATGGTGATGTAGCAGTAGGCCCCGAAAGGCGTAATAAATGAGGTCTTCAAGCAGTCGGATTCTTTTAGTCGGATCTGATGATATCCCGAGTAGCAATCCAAAAAACTGAGTAGCTCGCAGCCGGCCGTTGAGTCAACTACCTGGTCAATGCGAGGTAACCCAAAAGGATCTTTGGGACAAGACTTGTTGAGGTCGGTATAATCGACACACATGCGTCATTGCCCCGTCTTTTTCCGAACCAGGACTGGGTTAGCCAGCCAGTCAGGATAAAGGACTTCTTTAATGAAGCCCGCTGCTAACAGCTTGGTTAATTCCTCCATGATCGCATCCTTCCTGTCCTGTGCAAAACGGCAGAGTCGTTGCTTGATGAGTTTGGCGTCTTCCTTAACATGTAAAGAGTGCTCAATCACCTCTCTAGGAATACCAGGCATATCGGATGGTTTCCATGCAAAGATATCTTTATTATTTTGAAGAAAGGTGATGAGCGCGCTTTCCTATTTACAATCTAACTCAGCGCCTATTACAGCAATCTTATTAGGATCAGAGGGATCTAAAGGAATCTTTTTGGTCTTGGCATCGCTTTCTCCGCTTTTGGGCATCTTGGTTGCGGGCACTTCTCCTTCGCTTGCCATGGTTGCAGCCAGTCGGATCTCTTCTTGGGCGAGTGTGATCTCGCGGGTCTGGGCCATCTCGCAACTTTCTTTATCACATGTGACGGCTTGCTTGATGTCGCTCCGTAGGGATATGACTCCTCAAGGACCAGGCATCTTCATCATCATGTAGGTGTAGTGTGGGACAGGTATGAATTTGGCTAGGGCTGGTCGTTCGAGTATAGCATGTTACGCTGTCTCGAAATCAGCAACTTCGAAACAAACGTTTTCTGTGCGAAAATTCTCCCGAGTACTGAAAGTAACCGGAAGAGTGATCTGGCCGAGTGGTGTAGCAGATAATCCTGGGATGACACCGTGAAAGGGTGCATTACTCGGCTTTAATTCCGTACGAGGGATCTGCATATCGTCCAGGGTCTTGGCGAAAAGGATGTTGAGCGCACTGCCACCATCGATGAGGGTTCTTCGGAGCTTGACGTTGCAAGCCACTGGGTCTAGTACCAGGGGGTACCGGCCCGGGTGGACCACTCGGTCGGGATGATCCGAGCGGTCGAACTTAATTGCTATCTCTGACCATCGAAGGTATTGGGGCGTGTTGGGCTGAACTGCGTTGATCTCCCGTTCGGTTAGTTTCTGCTTTCTCTTAGATTCGTAAGCTAGGGGTCCGCCAAAGATGTGATTAAGCTCCTTGCAAAAGTCCTGAAAACCAGTCGGGGCATCGTCTTCGTCATCTTTCTTCTTTGATGTGCCTTGATCTCCGTCTGAAAGCTTATGTGCGTTCTTGGCATATTGTTCCGCAAATTGCTTGTAGACGAAGCAATCTTTGGCCACATGGTTGGAGTTGGGATGATGCGGACACTGGGAGTTCATTATCTTGTCGAAGGTGTTGACGCGGGAACGTTGTCGGGAAGATGGAGTAGTTGTCGCCACAAGTTCTTCGGGCTTACGCTTGCGATCCTTGCGATTGTTACTTCCCCTCTCTCCTGCGGCCGGCATGTCTTTCTTCGGTTTCCAAGTGGTGCCCGACTGTTTGGACGCAATAATAGCATCTTCGGCTTTGGCATACTCGTTGGCTTTTTCAAATATCTGCTTAACCGTCTTGGGAGATTTGCGTCTGAACTTGCCGACTAGGTCCTCGTGGTGAATGCCTTTAGTAAAGGCAGCAATGATGACGTCGTCGGTGATGTCGGAGATCTTGTTGCGCTGCTCGGAGAAGCATCGGATGTAATCTCGAAGGGATTTTCCAGTCTTCTGAATGACGTTGTAGAGATCAAACTGTGTGCCGGGGCGTTCGAAGGTGCCCTGGAAGTTGGCGATGAAGTGATCATGAAGTTCCGCCCATGATCCGATCGTGCCACGGGGTAGTCCATGGAGCCAGGATCGGGCGGAATCCGCTAGGGCCACAGGTAGATAGTTTGCCATGGCTTTGCTGTCTCCTCCTGCTGCGCGGATTGCGAGTCCATAGACGGTGAGCCAAGACTCCGGATTAGTGGTGCCATCATACTTCTCGATTCCAGTCGGCTTGAAGCCGGCTGGCCAATCCACTCGACGCAGGTCATTAGTGAAGGCAGCTACTCCATCCACGTCGTCGTCGTAGCGATCTGGTGAATGGCGGTGACCTCATGCTGCACGGCGCTGGTTGATCATGTCGCGAAGATCGACGGGACGCTGGCGAGGTGGAGAGCGAGGCCGTTCGACTCGGCGTTCCCTGTGACGTTCGGGACGCGAGTGAACAGATCGTTCGTCGTGGCCCCTGCTCCTGCGATTGGATCCTGTGCCGATGATGCTGAGGCTTGGCTGATGATAATCATGAGATCGGAGATAGGGAACCCGGCTACCAGTCGGCGTGCGAACGCTGCCGGAGTTAACCGGAACTGAAGCGGCGATCATGGTCTTGGTCTGGTTCAAAATGTTGACGACGTGATCGGCTTGGTTGAGTGCGTCTTCCTTGAGGAGGGTGTCGAGAAGGGTGATCGCGGCGACGGCGTTCTGTTGGGGGGTGCGGAAGACCGCTGTCCCCTCAACGTCTTGTTGCCCGATAAGATCTCGTGCTTGTTGCCCTGCGTCCAAGGCTCGTTGTCGTCGGTCTTCGGCCTCCTTTGCAGCCCGTTCGTGTTCTTGTTGCTCTCACCGCAGCCGTTCTTGTTCTTGCGCTTGGCGCTCCTCTTCCAGTCGGCGTCGCTCGGCTTCCTACTGTACACGTGCTTCTGCTTCTCGGGCTTGGCGTTGTTCTTCCGTCTCGTTGTCGGCCATGAAGACGCCGAAGTAGAGAGGGGTGTAATTGTCTTCAAAGCTCTCGTCGAAGTCATCGAGGTTGTGG